AGTAAGTCGTGGCTAAACTGAACGGTTGAAAAACGGTAGTGGTGACTGCTGGCGAAGATCATCAAGTCCATAGAATATATGGGCTTGTTTAAAATGTAGCAAATTCATTCACCCCCGTGTCTGGACTTAGAGGCTTAGGCCTAAGACGAGGATTTGGTATTCCAGATTGCGTCCTATGCACCTCGGAGAAACACCGGGAGGCAGGAAGAACGAACACCGATGGATGCCGAGTTGACGTGTGGTCAAAAAAAAAAAAAATATATATATTAAATTATAATTAAGTTATAAATATATCCAAAAATCATATTTTATTTAGTTAAATTTATTATCAAATACTATTATATTATAGATAAATTATTAATAAATATTTATTGCCAAGTGATATCAAATAGTATAAATTTAACTTTGAATTTAATTATAAAATTTATAAAATTTAGTATATTGAATAATCAAATTTTGATTAGTATTAGTTAAGGTTTTGTTAAAATAAACTAATAATAAACAATAGGCAATAAATTCAAATTTTTAGAAATAAAAAAAAAACAATCTTATTTATCTTCAAAATTATATTTAAAAATTAATTATCTAAAACAGATATTCAAGTATAAGAAATTAATTTATATATAAAGATTTATATATATTTATATCTTTTTTTTAAAAAAATAAACAAAATACAATAAATACTTGTTTAATTATAAAAAAAAATAAATAAATAATAATTTTTTCAAAAACTTTATTATAATAAAATTATTTAAAATTTTATTATAAAATCTATTAATTTATATATTTATATTAAGCTTTATTATATTATATTAAAATTTTCATTAGTTTTTATTATATCTAATATCTATTATATTAAGATTTATTATTTATTTATTATAAACTATATATATAGTATCCTGGATATTAATTATTTTATCTGAAAAATTATTTAGAAAAAAAAAAGAAAAGTACTATTAAAAAAATCAGAAAGAATACTATTTAAGAAAAATATTATATACAATTGATTGGGATAATATTTCTAAAAATAATACATAGATTATATGACATATAAATATAAATATAAAATATAAAAATTATAAAAATTGTTATATACAATATAATTTCTTTTTTAAAATTTAATATGAACTCTTTTTGCTGATCCTCTTACCAACCCAAAAAACAGATGTTCTCAAAAATATTTTTATTTTTGATAATAAAGTCTATACACTTTCCTTAAAAATATTACTTCTTGAAGACTGGTGCCTCCCCACTTGTTTACCTTTCTTTCTTCGAAAAACTTTAGATATTTCAGCAACAAAATAAATAAAACTTTATTCATTTGGTCTATAGCAAGAACACCTTATTGGAAAGAAGAAACCTGTAGAAAAATACTCTCCATTACTTTCTCCTTAAGTCAGGAACTTTAGAAAATGAACCACTAGTGAATATATTTCCCAAGATCTATAAGAATCTTGGATTCACTGTAAGCAAACACCATGGGCTAAGGCAGGTGGATAAACTAATTGGACTTATCAGTGAACGCATTCCCAAATAATATAGGAACCTTGGATCCACCATAAATAAACTTCTTGATTCAGGCACGTAAATAAGCTAATGGAAATCTATTGTCCAGGTATATAAACCTTTTCTATCATTTATATATGTCTGTAGATAATACTTTCAAGTATATTTAATTTTTTCTTGGTTTTTTTTGAGGGAATTTTGCCTATCTCAGTTTGACCTTGAATTTTTTATTATATCAAAAACTTTGGATAATGATTGGCTGAAATCTTGAATTGATTAATTAACAAGTAAAAAAAATATAAACAAGATATATATCTACATGTGTCCTATATCATATCACATTAGAACTGATAATATAATTGGATAAGTAAAAAAGCAAGGTGTTAAGATATCCTCTTGATAAAAAGTGTTTGGAAGTCTTTCCCCTTTCCTTTTGTACCAGTTTCTTTTCTCTTCAAGGTCAAAGAAGGCTCTTATTAGGCTAGTGATTAGTTTTGATGAGATTTTTATTTTACCAGTACAAACTTTTCTCCTTTTCCTTTATCTTTTCCTTTTATCTTCTCAAAAAAAAAATAAAAATTTTATACCTTAGGATCACAAAGGTTAAGTTGAAGTAAACAGTTTTGATAAAGGGCTGGCGATGATATTGAGATCCACAAGAAATGTGGATCAAGATAAAGCAACTTTTTTCATTCTTCTTAATTACATCTAAAGGCCAATGGCTATTGACAGATATACTGTATAAAGAATTACAAGTTTAACCTTTAATATAGATCTATGAGACATTATATATATCTACACATTTGTATCTTGGATCAATCCAAACTTATTAGTTTGTATGCAAATAAACTTGAATATATGGCCTGATTAGATGTAAAAAAAATATATATATATATATAATTTCTCTTTTTATAAAAATGATAATAAATCAATTTATTTGAAATATTATATAATATTGTTTTATTTTCAAAACATTATATTTAATTCTCTTTTTTTTTTTGTTTAACAATTCAAGTTTTTTGTAATTTTATAAGCAGACAAAATATTTCTTATTCGTAGATCAGAAGCTTTTTTATATTGATAATTAAATATTTATTAGGCATCAATGATCTTAAGATCGTGTAATTCATTTGTATTTTTAGAAGGGTATATATATTAGTCGATTGTATTGTATTGATAATCAAATAATTATTATGGTGTACCATTGTGTGATCATGACTTATCTATTTTCAGCGATTATACATAAAGTTGATAGTAACTGTTAAGGGTCCGAAAAACTCAGTAAAACGGGTACAGCAATTCTGTTGTAAAGGGTCAGATTGTCGATCCGTCTTTCTGAGGTTATTTCTTTGGACCCTATAGCCATAGTTGGGGTGATTTGCGATGAAATTTTTAATGCAACTCGTGCATTGACACAATAACAACCCATGCAAATTTCACAATGAATTATCCATTTGCACAATCAAGTAAATTTTCGAAAACCCTCAGCGGAATTACATAATACGCATGAATGCTATTTTCCACACGTAAAGAACAAAACTATAGGAGGGAAATTTGGATTCTTTACACGGAGAAAAATGTAGAGCATGTGGAAAACAAACCGGTTTACTGCATGGGTACAATTTCGGAACTGGTGGAATCAAAGTCCGTGTCGCCTTATAGGAGAAAAAATTTTGTAATACACTAAAATTAAATTTACCTATATTGGTTACTCGAAAGTTTCCCCAACAAATAACGGAGTCCCATTAATCAGTTACAGACGTACATACTCAAGTGATCACAATATTGACCATTTTTATACAATTCAAGAGATATTCACAATTATTGAATTCATATATATATGTATAATTAACAAAGCCGTACCCAACCAAGGGTTGTTCTCCCTTTTGTATGTTCTATAGTAGTTGTCCATTGCATCGAAATTATTTTTGGACATCGACTTCCTTTTATTTTTCTTTCACTAAAGCTTGCCCTTTTCAAGCGTAATTACTTTGAATTACATTAAACCCAAATTATATTATTTATTTTTTGTTTATTTAATCAACCTTTCAATAACAGGAAACTAATTTATTTTTTCTTAAATACCAGAAGATTCTTGGCATCAATAAACGAAAATTAATTATAGACGTAATTAAGAAAAACTTCTCATTATCAAAAAATTTTTTCTGTTCTGAAATATTTTTTTTTTTTTGCGACGAATATCACTATTCTTATTATTACATAACTTCCGTCTTTTGATAATTGAAATTATGGCGAACTATGAAATGACAAGCGTAAATAATAACCAATTCCTCAATGAGGCATGGTCGATAGAACAAAATATCGACAGAATTTCTAATAACATTACATCCATCCGGGATATCCAAACAAGAATAGTTGTAGCTGTTGCTACCGCTCAAGAATCTGCTCTGGCGCAGGAACGAGACCAGCTTATGTACAACACTAAAAATAT